GAATTATAAGTGGCAGATAATTTCGTTTGTTGGTGGGATTGTCGACAAAAGACTCATAACTAAAGCATCCCCCAACACACGCGGTTGTCACCTCTCGCGAAGAGATCGGCTTCGGCGAACTCGAGTCTGTGATGAGGTCCCGTGGAGCGAGTCGCGACTCAGGATTCATGTCACCCCTCGCACTGGTGATGTGTGCTCTGGCATCCGTGTGAATGGTCCTCTTTCTATTGCATTGCTAAGGATAGCACCATATCCAACAAAGCATCTCTTGACCCTTCTGTTTATGGCAAAAGTTATTTCGACCCCGTTACCTGGCGCTTAGTTGTAGCATCTGGCCTACGGACAACCCCATCCACAAGCGTCGTGTGTAGACGACTTACCAATAGAAGCGAATAGACGAGTCCCAGGAAGTAGTCTCGAAGAAGAAGACACGATCGCGGAGACGACTTACGTTATCCAAGACGTTCAAAACCTGCAGAGGCATCAACCACTTCTGTTGCTGTCTCGAACGATAGTTTCGAGTGAGGATCCGAAACATCAGATAAGCAAAATCAACTTCGCAAAAATTGATCTTTGTAGGTGGAGGCAGCCCAAAATAAGTCCGGTGTGATGGAAAGTAAGGAGCAGAAATAATGTCGATGGTAGCACGAGAGCAAGGGAGGGAGTGTGCAATAAGTGAAGGGTACTAGGGCAAGTTAAACAAGACGAGTGAGCAATGTTATAGGATGGTAGTTAACCTTCCGAAATAGGCACCTCGAAAATGCTGGAACGATTGGGCATCATGTGAATCGATAGTGAACACGACGACTCTGCTTAAGCAATCTTTTTCGGATAGGAAACACATTGCAGAATTTAGTCAGCATTTCATGAGATAACATATCTCCTTTACGTCAGTCATTGGCTATGATTGTATCCAATCATTTACGGCAAATGAAAATCACCCCTTGGTGCTAGGCTGTACGTCCAAATGTCTGGGTTTCAAATGATTGTTGGTTCTTTCCGATGCATTAAATTAAAAGCGAACATTCATACGTGTCCGTTTTTTAAAGGTATTATGCAAAGGTCTTGGGAGTATAAATGTCAAAAAGAAAGTAGCAGTTGGTGTGATAACGACTCGATAACCTGGCTTACGGTGTACCGTGGTTTTATGAATCGAGTCCGTCAGTCGTCTCTATTTTGGAAACAAAATATTCATGTTATGCACCATAATTCCATCTTGTGCCGGATGCGTCTCCCCGGACTGATTCGAACTGCTTCATCATTGATCACTGCCGTGCTCCACTTACAAGATCACGTGGTATGAACGCGAAACGTGCTGACGATGGCAGCTGTGCCAGCGATGTGGAAACTCGGAGTTCATGAGGGCACTAACCCTAACCATGGCCCTAATCTCCTCTTTATCATAGGAGGGATCCTGCTTCGTATGTTTCACCTTAACGGCTAGTGAACCCACACCAGCCTATGTTGAATGTTCTGCGTGCCATCCCGATTTCTGCAGTTTATACTCCCCTCTTTCACTCTTGACAACCAAACGTTCCAGTTTTACGCCCAAACTCCAGCTACCACGTCGTTGTCGCCAGCAAACTCCATTTAGTGCCGGATGAGTCCTCCCAGACCGATTCGAACTGCGGCCATTTTTGATCGTGGACGTTTTCGTCGTACAAGGTCACGTGGCGCGAATGTGGAATGTGCTGACGATGCTTCACCTTAACAGGTAGCAAACTTAGTCCAGCACACAATAAATGCACTGCATGCTATCTGGTTTATGAAGTTTATATTCCATTCACGGTTCTTCTGAGTAATTGTACTACATTCCAATTCCCATGTATCCTAACGCCTTGTTGGTGTGTTGCGATGCCGTAGAACAGTGTGGATTGTGGAAATTCCACCCGAGGCTTCAAAAACGAATCCGATGTACTCCTCATTTGAAGGACACTGCCGGACGGCCTCGGTCAAACGAAGAACACGAAATTCGCTGAGATCAGCGATACCTGTATAGAGGAGGGGACGCTGTGTAGGGATGTTGTTAGTTTTTTTCTCGAACTTGACTTAGTCCTCTTATAGTCCTAGCCCTTTGCTGCTAATCCACCGGCATCATATCAGTTAGCCTTCTTCGAACTTTAATCCTACTAGTCATTGTAAACTGACAATTCCTGGCTTCGATCATCCTAGTGACTCATCTCCAGGCGTCTCTTGCAGGTAATGTTTGACATGAATTTAAGCAACCAACTTGCCGCTATAACGTTTGGGAGGTCCGATGAGGTTACCGGATAAGTCACCAAGTAAGCCACGAATAGCGTTGGACTTTGATTGGTTAATCTACAACTGGCTTGACCTCTAAAACGATCTTAGCCGAAATGAGGTGATATGATATCTGAAATGAGCTATTTCAATTTAGGGATCACGCATGGCCGTTTAGGACCAAATTCAAGTGTATTTTTCCCCATCATCGCTCAACAGAATAGCTTACTTTCGACACTAAACTTTTACCTGTCTTTCACCCATCCAACTTGAATGGTCGAAAACATTTAAACAAGAAACCCAAATGCAATTCACCATAAATACTGGCAATACTAAAAGATTTTAGCAGTCAACGTATTCTTTTTGGAGGAATTTAGTTGGTGTTAAAACGTAAAATCTTGTAGGGTCGTTTAAAAAATGTGTTCATTCGGGATTCTCTTAGAATTTACTCGATGGGAACACGCGTCCGAGACTGGCGGTTAAACTAGAATGACGAGTGTGTCTGGGTTTCAAATGATTGTTGGTTCTTTCCGATGCATTAAATTATAAGCGAACATTCATACGTGTCCATTTTTTAAAGTTATTATGCAAAGGTCTTGGGAGTATAAATGTTAAAAAGAAAGTGGTAGTGAAATCTGCGGTTAACCTTTTGGGCGAATTCAGACATTTTATGGTAACTTTCTCCACATCCGCATTATACATTTGACCACTGACGTTTGATCAGAACTCAGTTGTTTTCCTTACCAGAGGCGAAGCCAGTGGCATCATTTCCTGGTGTAAGTTGGTTGCCTACAACCTTTCGTAAAACCCTTCCACACTGTAAGGTGTGAGAAGGCGGCTGCCGGCATACGTGGCCTTCATGTCTGGATAAGCGCGCTTCTGGTTGATCGCAAATCAGCCTGTCCGTATCAGAGATCATACGTCAAATCTGGTGATCGAACCGCTAGTCTGTCTACTTTCCAGGGCGGAACAGCGGATCACCAAACGTCAACCAGATTTCATTCAATTTGCTTTACTTTACTTCTGTATATCCAGACTCTGAAATTGACATGGTGCATGGACGTTAACCTGTTGACCACAAATTATCGTTTTCTGCGACTGAGTTTACGCACCTACTGTGGAACTGCATCATCCTCAGTGCTGCATCGACATGCCTCGAAGACCCAATCGCAATAACATACTGACGAATCACAGAGATTCCTACTGTGTGTTGTGGTTTTGCCTCTCGGTTCCATTAGCTCTTTCACT